TTTCTTGTATAGTAGATATTTCGTCTCATCGAGGGCCCGTGGTTTTTTATTATAAGTTGGTGGATTATCATTGTTATTTGTCCACATAAAAAATGTTTTGAATTGTGGTTGATTTTCTCTCTCTCTCTCTCTCTATATATATATATATAGATCATGCTTGCATTAATTTTTAATTAGATTGCCTAAATCAATAATCACATTAAACAAGACGCATCTAGATTTTACAAAAGAGTTTACCGCACTGAATTTAGATTTTTCAGTTCGGGCCTATGTTCCCGAATTTCGGTCATATATTCGGGAGTTTAGTTTTAAAAAAATGACGAACAATTTTATTAGTTTTGCCATTTTTTTTGAAGAAACTTACTCTTACAAAGCCAATCCCTCCTGAGCTAAAAATACCATCAAAGTTATGAATATTTTCTAAGCTTTTATTGTTGTACTCCTCTCGTCTCTTAAAATTGTGATTGCTGGAAAAACTTCCACTCATTATCATTGTTGGAGAAGTGTATATAATCAAATAATTGTCATCATTGCCGTCAGAATATTGTTGCCAAATGATTTTCAAGATTTTGAGAGTGGGTAGGTTTTGAATGTGGGATTTGGGGAAGATGTGGTTGGGTGGTGATAAAGGTGGGTGCTCTCATAAACCCTAACTCATGATGTAATGGGTATGTAGGTTTAATTGTGAGATGTATGTCCCAAAATTATTGATGTCCTCTCTAGTAATTTCACTTGAAGTTATTATTGTAATAAAATAAAAATAAAAAACTAAAAAATAAGGGGTCCAAAATAATTAGGTAATTCTATTTACACATATCATTTACTTTCTGTACACACACTAAATGAATTAATTTTTTCTTATAATTTTACCACTAAACAAAATGACTAATATAAATATCAATGCATACATTAATCCTTAAAACTAAATTTTCTTAGTACACATCTTTTATATGGAAATTCTCAATACACATTTTCTTTTCAAAAAATACACACATCAGACTTACTCTCTAATTTTTTGTTTCTTTCTCACTCCATCCATTGATCATTGCTCACTTTACTATACCTTCATTGTTTCTCATAGATTTGACCGATATTGCTCAAATTTTCATTCCTTACCCATTACTTAACATTGTTTTATTACACCCCACTATTATTATTGATTTCTATGATGAAGGATTTACAAAACAATGAATGTTTAGATGTAGAAAAAAAAATGATTGTTAATAAAAAATTAGGCAATGAATATGTGAGTTTTTTGGTTTGGAAGTATTTCTTTTTTCATTGTCGCAATTATCATTCTAAAAATCAGTTCTGAAAATGTTGCACATATATGGAAATTAACTATTGAAACATTTCATATATTCGAAAACCAACCAAAAAAATAGTTATATGTCGAAAATTTATATTTGGTTCCGAAGTACAGAATAAAAAACTATTGTTTGATTCAGAATTGTCAAATTTGTTTAATGTACTTGGATAACCAGCACCGAATTATTTTCATCTTGTTGCCAGTCAATATGGAACGAATAATGAAAATAGTATAACAATAACTTACACTTAGATTTGCTTTGAGTTTTGAAAAATAATTTTTGAAAATTTCAATCCGTATTCTTTTGTTTTAGTGAACATTTTTAATATTCTAATATTTTTTTTTGATTCACTTAATTTAAATACACTTAAAAAACATACAAAAATATAAAAATTCAATACATATATATATATATATTTGTATTTATTATTTTTTAAAGATTTTTGGCAAATAATATACTTTTTAAATGTATCTAAATTAAATACGTAAAAAGTTTACTAAAAACAAAAACAAAAAAAAAGATTTTAAAATTAACAAAAATATTTTTGAAAATTTAAAACTAAATAGAGTATTAGTTTTTGAAGAATAATAGTAAAATAATACAAAAAAATTGTTGATTTAATTTCATTTAGGTTTATATTTCCCATTCTACAAACTAAGTAGGTGTTTGACATGCACTAAAAAAGTGCACTTTTTTTTTTTGCATATATACACTTATTTGGGTCACATCAATCAACATCTCCTCTCTATTTTTTACCCACTTTCTCTACTTTTCTACACATTTTTTATTTATTTATAAAAAGTTAAAAAGTGCACTTATTTAGAACATCTCAAACCACCATTTAAATATAGTCAGAAAATTGCTGGAGTGTGCCAAAAAAATGTCATGTGTGTAGGGCACAGTTTAGATTTTGACTTAGGCTTAGGGGTGTGGTGAGAGTTTATGTTTTATGTGGTGTATGTACATAATGTGTTGGAATTTTTGTACACATTATATGTTATGGGCATATTTGGAACACTTTGTGTGTGGAATAAGTAAAACAAAAGATAAACAAATTCATTATTGTGAAAGATGTTCATAAAGTACAAATAGTGTGTGGAAATAGAATTACTTAAAATAATTAATGAGGTGCTAATAACAGCACTATAATTTTTAGGATAAATTATCTATATGTCCTACTTTTGAGACTTATTATCCATTAAATCCTATTAATAAATTTATCAAATAATACATCTATCAGTCTCTTTTATTTTCATGAATAAATTTACAGTGATAAATTTATAAGTAAATAAATTTAGTTAATAAAACTAATTGATAAGCCCCCTAATTTTTATTCAAATAAAGCTAAAAAGATTTTCACAAATGAGACATATATCTAATTATGTGAAAATCTTTTTCGTTCATAGCACACTTGATTTAGATTAGAACTTTATTAAGGCATTTATTCATAAATCATTTTTCATCTACTTATGTTTCATTTAGTTCAAATTATTTTTTTATGTTCCAATAAGTCCTATGAGTGACATAGTTACTAAAATATCACTAATAATAACAGGGTAAAACGCGTATTAATGTTCACATTGATTGTGTGAACACTATTAAATATGAATGTTCATATCACCAAATTGCTAAGAGTTCAAAATATATTTGTAAGTGTACAATTGTCCATAAAATATCTTAAATATAAGAATTAAGATTTGGTAAATTAAATGTCCAAATAATATAATTTATTAAAATTCAAAAATATGTTATAAATTAATTAAGATACAAGTACTTGAAAGAGAATTTCCTTATAAATTTTCCTACTTTATTATCATATTGCTTAATCTTGTAAATAATATACTTCTTACTTGTAGCATAACGCCGTTACTATTGCTTGCACAACTTTACAAGTTTGTAGATGTTTGGCATGTACTAAAAAAGTGTAACTTTTTTTTATATACATATATATTTATTTGGGTCACATCAATCAACATCTATCAATATTTATCCGTATCTCCTCTCTACTTTTCTATCCACTTTCTCTACTTTTTTACACATTTTTTTAATATAAAAAGTTAAAAAATACACTTATTTAAAACATCTCAAACCACTTCTTAATATTTTTGTCAAAGGTTTTATCATTACTTTTTTTTTCTTTTTTTCTTTTTTTCAATTCTAAGATTGTTTTCTAAACTATGGACAAGAGAATGAATTGCACTTCACATATGATTTCTTTAGTTGAGTAAGATTTTCGTTTCACAATAATAAAAGGACAAATTTCACTTTATTTACTTATGATTTGACCTGAATAATTTCATTGCCATTTGAAAATAAACATAGAATTTTCATGTAATTTGTAAAATTAAGTACACCATTAAACTCGTTAACAGTATAAGTAACTTCATGGTCCAAATCAAAGGCATTTTCATAAATTTTTTTTAAGAGGCAAAATTAATTTTAACCTCTGTACTTTTTATATTTATTGTTAACTTTGATGGAATACATGATAGTACACTTTAATTTACAAACCACAAGGAGCGCTGTTTAGTTGGTCAATCATTTATAATAAAAAAAATTTGTTCCCTAAAAGTGCCATTTGCTTGTTTGGGGCAACCATTCTGAAAAGGAAACAACACAAAACTCTTAACCATGCAGCTTTTTTTCTTTTTTTCTTTTTTTTTAATTTAAAATTATTTATTTTTCAGCCTCACATTAAATAGAATCAAATCATAAATGTCAAGATAATTATAAAAATGTGGTGGATTACATGGATTTTTTAATTGGGTCATTTGAAGGGATTGAGATGATGTAAAGGAAATTTGCATTACATCATTTTAATGAATATTAAAAAAAAATCACCTCATCAATTTGATATAAATTAGATGGGTGGTCTAATCTGGGCCCATGGCCCCTATAAGCTCCACTTGATGACCCAATTCATTAATTTAGGTTCTCATGTATAAATATTCTATAAAAACGAATAAATGTTCTATAAAAATGAATAGATTAATTCAATAATCGTAGTCACATTATTTAATTATATTTATTTTAAAATTATATTTATTGTTCAAATTTTTTTTTAAAAAAAATTAATGTAATGAAATTATTTGATTATAATTATTAAATCCATTTGATTTTTTTTTTTTAATTATAAATGATTTAGACACTTAAACTTAAACTACAACCTTTGGCTTAGTGGTTATATAGTCTCGGTTCAACTCCTATAGAGAAAATTTTGATATTCTCTGTGGGGATATTTATTTCTCCTAGTAATTTATTTGATGTAATAATAATTTTTATATTTATAATTATTCTCTATCGATTGACAAGAAAATATAAAAATTAACAAAATAAAATCTATGGTGAATCCGGACTCGTACTGACCACCAGTCAGAACAATTCCAGCCCAATGAAGACAAATGATAATTGACTTGTCCCTACAGTGTAGGCCCAAGAAAGTCTGATTTGTGTTTGTCTATATTGATGTTTCACTTTGGCAGGCTTTTAAGATTTGTAAGAGTGACAAGCAGCAATGTAAACCCCAATACAGATTCAAACTTGTTGAAAATCAAATATTATTTATACATATCAAATATCATTTAGCCATTTCAGATCTTTCTCACTTCATAGCCTAACTACATACACACACAACAGAAACCAAGACACTGAGCACGTCATAAGTAAACTAAAATCTAATTGCTAGGTACACACTGTCGTTTTATTTAATTAACATTAATATCGAGATTGATGATATAATTATATATCAATCAATATCAAACAATGTCAATCGATATTATGATAAATAACGCTATCATGAGTTTAAAATTCAGAAACATTTTAGCTGTTATTTAAAACCCTACAACACATAAGAGAGAGAGAGAGAGAGATCCATGCAGCTAGGGTTAGTTGGAGGACATGGAAGAAGGGAAGTGCATATCTTTGAGACCAGTGGCTGTGATGGGGAAGAGTTCTAGGGTTTTGGGGGGTGCAGTATTGCAACAAGGAGTGATTGGAGTTGGAACCACATCAAGCATCACCATCCAATCACGACCGTATGATCTCATGACCATGGGCTTGCTTGTAACCATTTGTGTTGATGCATCCTCCACTTCTCCACCCTAAACCAAAAAACTTTAGTATAGAATTATATAAGAACAAGAATAATTGTACTCGTAACAAAAGAAGCTTGTTTTTCACTATTTTGATTTTAAAGAGATTACTCAAAGAAAACGTCATTATATGAATACAAAAATAAAATAAAAAAGTAAATAATAATAATAATAAATATACGTGAGGCTTGCTTGTAACCATTTGTGTTGATGCATCCTCCACTTCTCCACCCTAAACCAAAAAACTTTAGTATAGAATTATATAAGAACAAGAATAATTGTACTCGTAACAAAAGAAGCTTGTTTTTCACTATTTTGATTTTAAAGAGATTACTCAGAGAAAACGTCATTATATGAATACAAAAATAAAATAAAAAAGTAAATAATAATAATAATAATAAATATACGTGAATACATAAAATTTTACAAAATTAGTTTGTGAAGTCTAATTTTAAAAAATTTTATTCGTACTGATATCATGTAATATAATGAATATGAACGTTATATTCTATGACTCATTTTTATATTGCACTTTATATAATACTAACCACGTCAATTAAAAAATTACATATGACATATATTAATAATATTTCATAATGCTAAAAAATATAATGATTCTAAAATTATTGAAAAAAATGTTGATATATAACAATGTCACCTCAAAAAGTTGATTGAGGTGGAAGACGAAAAAATGATTTACTTACAAAAACAAACAAATGGTTTTCTTGGAATACACAAAACTAGAATCAAACAATTTTGCCTAAGGTTTTATGTATTCGTGCTTTAATTTGATGGAAAATAAGGAAAGGAAAATGAAGTCACATCTCCCGAGTAACACCAGTACGTAAAGTAAAATTTAGACTGCTTAATGTATGAATATAATAATAATAATAAATCTAATATAAAAAAGAAACATATGTAAGAAAAAGGATCACATAAAGATCATACAAGAACTCTATACTTAAATAGAAGTACACTTGAATGCAAGAGAAAGAAGTATTTCATATCACAATTTTCACTTGTCGCTAGAGGCAGAATTATTTATACTTTCATGAAAGTTACAAATATTTTGATTTTTGATTTTTATTTTTTTGTTGATGCAATTAAAAAAAATACCTGAGGAAGAAACCCAATAGAGCTATGTTGGGAAGGAAGAGGAGGAGGAGACTGAAGGTTTTGGTGGTGGTGGTGGTGATGCTTAGTGAGTTTCCTTCTAAGCTTCTGCCTATCTCTAGCTTTGTGGTTCTGAAACCAGTAAAACACATTCTTGCCTTCAATCTTTCCATACAAAGAGAGGTGGGCTGTGATCTGCTGTATCTGTGAGGCATTGGGTGTTCTCATGCCACCTATGTACATCTCTTCCAAGATCATCAGCTGTTCTGGGGTTGGACACCACCTTGATGAACCTGCTGGTGACATTAGGTGTTTCTTTATGTGTTTTGGGTTGGGTGAGCTTGAGGGCTTCAAAGAGGAGAGTATAAATATATAGATGGAGAGAGAGAAAATTACAACATGATCAGATAGTGAAAAGGATAGTAAAGAGACAAAATGGAAAGGAGAGAGACAAAAGAGATGGAGAGAGAGCAGCAAAAAGGGGAGGTTAAAAGAGAGAAAAAGATTATTAGAAACGGGGAAATGATTTACCAATATCCAAAAAAAAAAAAATTATACCCAAAAAAATATCTAGAATAATGTGTTAATAATATTTTTAAAATTAAGATAGTAATAATAATGAGCATTTTGATTGAAAATAAAAGTATCATGAGAAAGAAATCACAAAAATTTGCATAAAAATTTTATTGTATATCATTACTAGTAAGATGATTATGATGCCTCTTTGGAAAGGCAAGCAATGAAGGTTTAGGAATGAGGATCCCTCCTTGTATTTCTTACTTGCAAGCTTATTGGGCCTACTTTTAGGCTCAATTTTGATAATTTGAACCGTTCATATTTTAAGATTTGTTCAGTATATCATACTTGTGAAAAATCAAGTTGATCGGATATCAAAAAGTATGTGTTCGGAAAACTCGAACTAAAAACTATTTTTTTAAAGAATTCAATAAACAGTTTTCCGAACACATGCTTTCTGATATCCGATCAACTTGATTTTTTACAGGTATGATATATTGAACAAATCTTAAAATATGAACGGTTCAAATTATCAAAATTGAGTCAAAAAGTGGGCCCAATGGACTTGTAAGTAGGAAATGTAAGGAGGGGATTTTGATTCCAAGATCTAGTCCATTAGAAGATCTTTCATTCCTAAATTTGTGTTCACCTGTCCTATATCTATTGGATCGTGTCTTGTACCTTGAGATTTCAAAGGATCCAAAGTGTTTTGGAACTGTGAGATAAAAAGAGTTATGTACTGACATTTTTGAGGATCTAAAAATTAGATGTATTTTAGAATAGTAAAATAAAAAAAAAATTAAAGAAAATTTCACTAGGGATAGAGGAAATTTGTATGAACGAGTGAGTGAAATATCAATAATTTTTTTCTTCTTTTTTCTTTTTTTAAGAATTTAACTCATGTTATGCGAATTTAAATTTTGTAGTATAAGTAGTTTGTGACTTCTCATGATATTTATAAGAATTTAATCTAATAAGTACTTTGCTAGAAAATTGACTTTTTATAACTTCTTTTTTTTTTTTGCGACTGCCTGTTTAGCCATTGCAAAAATAAATAAATAAATAAAGCTCAAATTTATATTTAACATTTATTTCTCCTATTTTCTTTTATTTATTTGCTCCATTTTCTTAGTTTTCCTCTAGCGTGGCTCACTCAACCTCTCTCTTTCGCTCTCACTCATCGGTATGAATCTCTCTCTCCCTCTCGATCTCAATTGATTGATCTCTCTATCTCGATCTTTCAATCTCTCCCTCTCTCGATCTCTCTCTCACACTATCTCGCTCTCTCTGTATCTACGTACACATTATTTACTCTCTCTTTCTCTATGCAATTTGCACGATTTGCCGCAGAGAAACCCTAACTCTACCATGAAAAAGTTCTCTCGGAGCTCTCAAATATAGCAGAGTAAGCTCACTTCTCATGCGTTTCATCTGTCTCAAAATCCACCTACATTGCGCGTGCACTACACACACACACATACACAAAGACTATCTTTGAACTTCATTGTGTACATATCGTCCGATCAATGCATAATTACATGAATGCGTATTTACATATGTATATGTATTCAGCATCGCAATGCAGATCTGTCTTCATTTCTATTTTTGCTTATTTTTTACCTCTTTTTTGGTTCTTTGATCCATAAATTGCTCGATTTTGTTCTAATTTTTTGTTCTTTTTTCAATGCTTTTCGTGTTTATTGGTTGATTAGTTGGTTTGAGAAAATCGTGGTAAAACGTTGTGGCTATTGCGAGTGGTGATGCCTTTGAAGCCTTTGCACAAGCATTACAAGAGAAGATTTTTGTTTATATTCTCATCTCATTAGAAGCAATATTCAAAATGTAGCTCTTTAATTTTTATAAGTAATGGGCCCTTACAACTAATCTTTGTCACACTTTTTTGTTTAAAATCGTCCATAGATCAGAAAATACACAATTGGAATATGTTGTCTACCATGGCTGCTGAATAGATTGTAATGATAGAGTGATCCATTCTACGGGTTAGAATTTTTTTGCTAGACTTTGTTAATATGTTTAGTAATTTTCATTTTTTTTTTGGTTCTCTAATGGCAGTTATACTTGCTAATGAGCTAAGAAATTTCAAAAATTATGAGGCAATTCACATTTGTATCCATAAACATAGGAGTATTAATTTTTGTTAAAACTTTCATCTTTGATGAATTTTATTTTATTTATTCTGTTTGCCTAAACAACTTACATCTGTTGTCATTCTTTTGAACGTGGCAGATGAGTGGGGCCAAAACTCATGGTGGAAGCCTTCCATGAACCAAAGAATAGAAAAAAGAGTTCAAGGTCTGTACATTTAGTCCCACATTTCATCTTACCCTTCTATTGCTGTATACTAAGGTGGCTTGGTCGGATTTTGAACATCTGAGGAACTAATAAGAGCTAGGATGAGAGTAATTGACCTGGTGCTTAATACTTAGATGGTATGGAACCAAACAAAGTCACTCTCTGTCTCAGTCTTATAAATTTTCATGATTATGAATTTTGTCTCCATTTCAAAGATTAACAATAACATGTGTTTCTCTCTTTATATATATACCTCTATGTGTTTCTCTATGACTTATGCTCATTGATTAACATGATGTTCATTGATTCGGGCTCTAATGTTTTGTTTGTTTGATCACTTAGCAGACACTTGGAATGCATAAAAAAGATTTTTTTTTTTTTTTATAACTTTTTTTTGGGTCCATATATGAATTTGGGATTGAGGTTGAGATATACTCATTTATTATTTTTTTTTGGTAAATTAAATTTTGTCTCCATTTCAAAGATTAACATTAACATGTATTTCTCTCTTTGTATAGATACCTTTGTGTGTTTCCCTATGACTTATGCTCATTGATTAACATTATGTTCATTGATTTAGGCTTTAATGTTTTGTTTGTTTGATCACTTAGTCTACCTTTGTGTGTTTCCCTATGACTTATGCTCATTGATTAACATGATGTTCATTGATTCGGGCTCTAATGTTTTGTTTGTTTGATCACTTAGCAGACACTTGGAATGCATAAAAAAGATTATTTTTTTTTTATAACTTTTTTTTGGGTCCATATATAAATTTGGGATTGAGGTTGAGATATACTCATTTATTATTTTTTTTGGGTAAATTACAAATACACCCCATGAGATTTGATTAAAATATGAATCGCCCCCTGTGGTTTTGAAAATTACATTCCACCGTTCAGGTTTCTAATTTCATAACAAATTGTCCCTTTTATTAATAAATCTTCAAGTCAATTAACAGTTTGTAATGATGTTAAAAATATGTTTCAATTAATAACTTAGGTAATTTTATTATTGTATAGGATAGCAATTATGAATTTCATTTTTTTAGTTAATTCTGTTAAATAAAAAATTGTAATTTTTCAAATCACATGAGGCAATTTGTATTTTAAGCAAACCTCAAGGGGTGTATTCGTAATTTACCCCACCTTTTTTTGTCTCTATTTTTTTCTTTTTCCAAAGGTCCAAGTTGGTTCTCTTTTCTTTTATGATTTGGTATGTTGGCCTCTATCAAATTTTTGCCTTTGCTGGAAAAATTAATTGTAACTGATAATATCTATTCTATTTATAACATTGAAATGTTTTATTCCCATCATTTACCTTTATTATCTTTTTAGTGTTTAGCTAATAATCTCTCTCCAATTGCTTCGTTATTACGAAGCAAATCATGTGTTTAATTTATTCCTTGTAGAACTTCAAAATGTTACTAATTAATTTTATTAAGTATAGCAATCAAAAGTGGAAGCCACAATATTTGAAAATGACATACAAATGTTACAGAACACCCTTAAGATTTGTACATCCTGCGCAATATCAAATAAAGTGATCAGAGCTTTCATGAATCAATCCTAGGGGAGTGTATGAACAAGTTTTGATGTTATCAAGTAACCATCATTTTCTGACTAACGTAGGCAAAAACACTCGAGAGCATGTTTAGAGCAATGCACGGACAACATGTGTTTTGGATTGAATACTTCTATTATTATCTTGTTTAATAGTTACACATAGAATTTAAATAGGGCAGAAAAGTTTAATTGATTGAAAAAGGATGGTGGGGGGAGGCTGGATATCGGTGGTGCAAAACATAGTGGGCAAGGTAACAGGAGTAAAGGCTTGGGGGCTGATCTTTATACGATTGTTGTGGACAACTTACCAGAATCTATGAATCCAAAAGGTTTGTATGGTATTTTTACTAAGTTCAGGGTAATGAAGGATGTGTTCATCCCAAATAAAAGAAAAAAGATGACGCGATCAAGATTTGGCTTTGTAGGCTATGATTGTTCAGTGGCAGTAAATATGGCAGTCCAAAAAGCTCATGGTCTTTAGTGCGACAACAGAGCATTGAGAGTAAAAGCAGTAGATTTTGTCAAAGGTATGGAAGTCAAGCAGAGCACACCGAAGATACTAACTGGAAGGATGGACATAGGGAGTACTAGTGGAGTTCAAGCTCTGATACAAGGGGGAAAGTCATATGCCCAGGCGAGCTTAAAGAGGAACTGAAGACTAGAGGAATAAAAGATCTTCAAGTTAGAGATAGAGGAGGTAAAGATATAGTCCTGACTTTTGAATCAGTGGAGAGTATGAAAGATAAGCTGGCTATAATGGATGGGTGAATTTATGAGTGATGTGAGTGGATTAAGGAATGGCAACAAGGTATGGTCATTGAACAAGAAAGGCTTGTCTGGCTTACATGTTAGGGTGTGCCACTGAATCTATGGAGTGTTAAAACCTTCAGTAGCATTGGAAAGGTATGAGGGAGGGGAAGTTATTGGTTGGATGATGATACATCCAAAATGAACTCGTTACACTATGGAAAAGTGAGGATGACTACTAAGTGTATGGAATTCATTAATAAAACTATTAATTTGAGTTGCGAGGGTTTGCTTCACCTAGTGAAAGTGCGTGAAGAACAACTAGTTATATTGGAGGTTATCCATAATCAATGCAAATGTTGCATTTTACAGAATAAAGGAGAAGATCACAGCTCCAATGGTGAAGTTAGGGAGCAGATGTCTGAAGTGGAGAGCAAGAAGGGTGTGAAAGATGCTGAGGTGGAGGGCCAGGTTGGCGGTGAGCTGGACAACGAAGATAACATGGTGGAAGGAAGATTTGAGAAAATGCTTGATGGTCAGAATGACAAGGATGGACAAGGTAGTTGGGAAAATGTATCAGTGGTTAAAAACTCTGACATAAACATGAGAATATCAAAATTTGGGAGCGCATGCTCGGTTACAATTAAAGAACCAGTAGTGAACTCTATGCAAATTCAAAATGAAGGGAACCGAAGAGTTGAGGATGAAGTTGTTACTCCAGGCTTTGTGAGGAGTGTTACTGGGTCTGAGATGAATAGGCATGGGCTTAATCTTAAGGTAGTACTTAGTAAGGCCCATGTTTTGAAGTGTGGTAATATGATGGGCCAAAGGTTCTCTGAGGCAAGTGACCTAGAGACACTACCCAAAAAGGGACTGTCTTGTTCAAACTAACAGTGGAGAGGAAGCCTGGAGTAGAATTGTTAAAAGAAACCACTGTGTGGTCGTGAATAAGATTACACCAGTAGCTCAGAAAGGGCAAGGAAATATGAAGGTGAAAACTAAAGGCGTTGTAAGATTCCAAAGGAAACAAAAGGGAAGTATTCACAGGGGGGTGGGATCTTCTCTGAATCTGAAAAAATGTGTCATCTTCAGGTCAGCTATTGCTGCAATTTCACTTTCAATGGAAAGTAAGTCTAGTAGTGGACAATTACTGCTTAATGAGGCTGAAGCATCACTTCAGATAGGGAATGTTCTTGGGCTAAATTATGATGGTAATGAGGTTGAAGTGTTAAGTAAGTTGGTGAAGCTAGAAAAAAGAGACAAGGAGAAAATGTTAAAGAGGGGTGAAGCTGCAGATTGAGCAGTACTACCCTGGTGACTTGGTGGTTCAAAATATGTTGTTAATAAAGTTATTATCTTGGAATGTGAGAGGGTTAGGCAGAGCTTCTAAAAGGAGTAAAATAAAGAAACTATTTTTCTGAAAGAAATGTGGAGATGATATTATTACAGGAAACAAAGAGGTCGCAAATAGATGAAAAGTTTGTGAGATCTTGTTGGTATGGAGATAAGCTGGACTTCTTGGCAGTGGATTCAGTTGGTACAGCTGGCGGACTATTGTGCATATGGAATCCAGATGCTTTTCAAATGTTGGACTGTTGCTGTAGCCAGAACTTCATCATTTTGTCAAGTACTCTCTTTAGTTTTGATTGTGTTATTGTTAATATCTATGCTCCCAATGATAGTACAAATATGAGGAAGGTGTGGGATATTTGACTAGACTAAAACCTTTGTATGATAAACCTTGGTGTTTGGTGGGTGATTTTAACGAAATTATGAATATTTCTAAAAGAAAGGGCTGCTATAAGAGAGATAGGGGTATGTGTGACTTTAATGATTTAATTGACAATTTGGAAGTGTGTGACATTCACATGATAGAGAGAAAATTCACTTGGTGTAACTCTCAAGAAGGGGAAAGGTGGAGCAGGATTGACAGGTTTTTGTTAAGTCCAAAATGGGTGCAAAATTGCAACTTCAAGCTTTGGGGCTTACTTAGGAGGTTATCAGATCACTGTCCTACTTTACTAATGGGAGATGATAGGGATTGGGATCCAAAGCCATTTAGATTTCTAAATTCTTGGTCCTTACATCCTAACTTCAAATACTTGGTAGAAAGTACTTGGGCTGAAACCATTATATAGGGCTGGATTGGTTTTAAGTGTTTAAGGAAGCTCAAAGCTTTTAAATTGGCTCTCAAACAATGGAATATTGAAGTTTTTGGAAATATGGAATTTAAACTCAAGCTTCTGGAGTAGGAACTGCATTTGCTTGACTTGGTAGCTGAAAAAAGACCATTAACTGCAATAGAACTTGATAACAGAAGGGAGACAAAAGGGAAATCTTGGAAGTTGACCAAAATGGTGGAATGGGTTTGGTTACAGAAATCTAGAGTTAATTCAGCATTAAAAAGTGATAAAAACACGAAGTTTTTCCATATTATGGCTGCCTCTAGAAACAATAGAAATGCATTGTGCTCATTAAATGTTAATAGGGTTATCAGGGAAGATACTGAAGAAATAAGAGCTGAAGTTTTTCAGCATTTTAGGAACTAGTTCACTGAAACATGGTTCAGAAGGCCAACCTTATCTGGTTCTTTTAAGTCTATTGGAGGTGATGCGATTAGGGATGCATTAGAAGCTGAGTTCTCAGAAGCAGAAATCGTACCAGCAATCAAAACCTGTGATGGGAATAAGGCTCTTGGCCTGATGGCTTTAATCTGTTGATTTTTCAAAAGTGTTGACAGTCACTTAAGGGTGATGTATTTCAATTTATGAAAGAGTTTCATCAAAATTCTAAGCCGGCTCATAGAGTTAATAGTTCTTTTGTTGCTTTGATACTAAAATGATAATCCTTCTTGCCTTAATGAATATATGCCTATTAGTCTCATAGGATCTCTGTACAAAATTCTTGCAAAAGTATTATCAAATAGAATCAAGCAAGTGATGCCTATGATTATTAGCGAGTCTCAATCAGCATTCATTGGGGGAAGAAATATATTGGATGGAGTATTGATTGCCAATGAAATTGTTGATGGGTGGAAGAAAAATAAGATAAAAGGTATTGTCTTGAAACTTGATTTTGAGAAAGCCTATGACTCAATTAATTGGGGGTTCCTTTTCTCTATATTGTCAAATTTTGGGTTTGGCTCTAAATGATTAGTTGGATGAAAGACTGTGTATCTTCAGTCCATATCTCTATTTTGGTTAATGGATCACCAACAGCTGAGTTCAGACCTCAAAGAGGGCTTAGACAGGGTGGTCCATTATCACCATTCCTCTTTAACATTGTGGCTAAGGGTTTAAATATGTTGTTGGGCAAAGCTTTACAAATGGGGTTGATTAAAGGGGCAACTGTTGGATCTAATGGTATAAAGATAACCCACTTGCAATTTGCCAATGACACAATATTATTTTGTGAAGTTGATTGGGAGAAGGTTGTCACTATCAAAAGGATCTTAAGATGTTTTGAAATATTGTAAGGGCTAAAGATTAACTACCATAAGAGTGTAGTTAGTGGGATTGGGATTAATGATGATTTTCTTGAAGATCTTGCTACTAAACTGAATTGTTTGCATCAAATATTGCCACTCAAATATTTGGGTTTGCCTTTGGGAGCTAATCTAAAGCGAAGAAGAACTTGCCAACCAGTGCTTGATAAATGTAAACAAAAATTGGTTTCTTAGGAAAAGAGATTCTTATCATTTGCAGGTAGGCTGGCATTGATTAAGTTTGTGTTATCTTCTTTACCGGTATATTACTTATCTTTGTTTAAAATGCCAAAAGGGGTTGCAAACGAGTTTGAAAAAATTTAGTCTAGATTCTTATGGAGTGGTAATGAGCTTAGGAGGAAAATTCACTTGGTTAAATGGGGGGAGATCACTTAAAATAAAAGTCAAGGGTGTTTAGGAATTAGAAAGGTTAGACTGTGGAATCACTGTCTTCTGTTGAAATGATGGTGGAGATTTGGAGCTGAAGATAATGCTCTTTGAAAACAAGTGATATGCAGTAAATACCCAAAGGTTGGAAGAGGATGGTGGCCTTTACCTGTTGAAAATAACAAGCTGCCTATGACCTGGAGAGATATAATGGGTGTTGTTGGCTTGTGTCCTGAGCTGGAGGATTTTTTCAAGCATAACATAGTTCTGAACATTGGTGATGGCAGGAGAACAAAGTTCTGAACTAACACTTAGGTTGGAAATACTTGCTTAAAAGATGAATTTCCCAGATTATATTATGTCTCTGGACAAAACTAAGACTGTGGCAAGGGTGAGGAGTAGGGGAATTGGTATTCAAGAATGGAGGTTTAACCTCAGAAAAGTTTTGTTTCAGTGGGAAGTGGAGGAGTTGGGGAGGTTGAATATGTTTTTACTCAATGCACCAGTGCTTAGGCTTGGTAGGTTGGACAATATCATATGGATTGCAGATAAATTTGGTTTATTCACTGTTGCCTCTACCCCATAACTGGAATATTTAATCTTCTAAGGATATTAGCACAGTAGCTGGGTTCATTTGGAAGAATGCGGCTCCACAAAAGGTTTAGTTTTTTGGTTGGTTATCATGGAAATGGAGGATTAAGGCATCCTGCTTTCTTCAAAGGCTTAGTGTTCTTAATAATGGGTCAAATGTGAACTGTATCTTCTATAATAATGATTTGGAGACTATCAATTATATGCTTCTATTCTGCCATTTTACTTGGAGAATTTGGTCCAAAATTTTGGATTGGTGGAGAGTAAAATGGGCAATACCTGGGTCTATAGATAGCCTTCTTCTTTGGTGGGCTGGTATAAAACTAAAAAATAGGAAATGGTGCTCTACAACATTATTCCGTTGGCAGTACTCTGGTCCATTTGGAGGCACCGTAATGACAATATCTTTAATGGCTCACAGGTTGACTTTGAAGAGTTGTGTGATGCTATCAAGATTAGGATTGCATTATGGATCAGATCTTCTTCCCCCTTTTTCAATTGCTCTGTGAATGATATTGTGTATAACCTGGAGCAAGTGAAGTATTGTTTCTAGGTTAGATTTGGTTTGCAGATTGTAGTTGAGTTTGGTGTGGCGTGTTTTGGCTGCTATGTGATTTTTCGTTTTTCTTTCTCCTTCGTATTTTGTTGGTTTCTCACCAACTTTTTGTGTTTGTGCTAGCAGATGATTGGGCGTCCTCCTTAGTTCCAACCTAGTTGGGATTGGGGTAGTTCGCTGCGATGTTTTTTGCACTTCCACCTCTTTACTGATGTAATCTCATATGAAATGTATGTTTTTTTCATCAATAAAGTTTTTTTGCTGATAAAAAAAATGTGTTTTGGATTGATGTTGTTACTACATTGTTTCTGGTAAAACTAACTCTCCATCTCTCTTTCTTTCTCTCCAAAATGAGTGACCTTTCAGTTGCATCACATTGCCAATTTTCTACTCAAAAGAATATTGTTTCTAGCTCAATTTGTGCACTAAAATTTTCTAATCACAATGGTGCATTTTCAGATCAAACGCATTCTCATTGTAGTTTAACTTGATGACCATGAATAGATGTCGTAATAACTTGTTTTATCAAAATAACTCAAGCATTTATTGATTACTTTGAATGACTATTCATATAAGAGTGCTCTATTGTTCTTCGTCTCATGACTCTTCAGGTTCACAAGTGTAATAACATTTCGTTTAGTGCATCAACTATCTTGCTTCATTTAGCAGCTAACACCGTTTCCTTTATAGTGTTTGAATTTTTGACCTTTTATACACCTTGGATTAATCCTGGATCTTTTGGTCTTCTCTACCAATTGTCACTCATTAGTTTTCTTTGCATTTGATCACAAGCTAGAAGAAAGATGGCTGCCCTATGAAGTCTTGGGTTGCCTTCAGGTTTAAAGCAATATTTATTGGTTTTCTTCTTTTTATTGATTTATTGAAATGTGCCTACATTGTACTAACTTCATCTTTAATTTTCTTTTTTATGTAAATATAATTTTAATTCTTGAGTATGCAGGTAATTATGATTTGACGGTCATTCGCCAAGAATACTATATTAATCGGCAAAAAACGATAGTATGCCCATGATAATCCATCTGTTTGGATTTTTATTTATTATTTTCTTATCATGATAACTCTCAACAGCTAGTATGTTTTGTGTGTGTGTTTTTTTTTAATTTTTTTTAAATTATGGTTTTTTAATGTGTGTGTTTTTTTGTTTTTTTATTTATTTGTTTTTATGTTGATGCTGACTACTATTTGGTATTTGCAGAATGGCCAATGGAAGATTAGGCCAATGGCTACAAGTACTAGTTTGTGTGCTGATTTTGTTGAAAACGTTAGGCTTCCATGTTAACTTATGTTGAGAATTCTTTTGCAAAAGAAGTAGGTGTAAACACTATTTTACAGTAAACAATTGAATTTATTATTTTTAATTTTACAATAAACAATGAGATGTATTGGTGTATATATATATATATATATGAAAATATAGGTTGATATTTTCATTACACGTTTAAATTAATTTGTTAATCTTATGTTATTTTTCATATAAAAAAATTGTTTGGTGATTACAACTGATATTTTTGTTGGAACAAATGAATAATAATTTTTATAATAAATAATTATTTGTGACAAATGTCATTAAAGACTATTTGTGATGGTAACAAGAAGGTCGCTAAAACATAATAAGCAATTTTTTATTTTTCCCGATGACAAAACAGCAGACGCATTAAGTAGGTTAGGCAGTCGCAAATAATTTGTGACCGCTACTTTATCGTCGCAAAAAGTATTTGCTATCCTCATATTTGCGTCTCCTATTTATCGTCATATGGGTCGTCGTAAAAAAAAAATTTGTGACTGTATTTTTATTTTTTGCAATGACATGTGGTAGTGGCAAAAATTATTTTTTTTAGTAGTGTGGTTGAAGAATTAAATGATATGGTTATCATCACCTTATTATTTATATTTTTTTCATCTGGGTGTAAATAGAAAAAATGGGAGATGTATGAGCACGAAATAATGTTCTCGTATAATCCTGTTGATCAAGTTTGCGCTCCTCCAAACGTCGCTTTACTCCCTGAAAACACAAACGTGAGCTAGCCGACGGGTGTGTGCCAGATACCTCTCCGATGCCTAAGTCAACAAAATAGACAAATAGACAAAAGTTCTGTGTATTCGAGAATCAAAGTTATGATACCTGTACATAGGTCTGGTCATGAGCTTTTATAGATTCTGCCTGGCACAATCCTAGTAGGATTCCAACTCTTCCTTACAAGAGTCCTCCTAGGAATCATTCACCCTACTCACTACCAACCAAGTGAGATGGTTTGCACAATCCTAGTAGGACTCTACTCACCTTAGCAGAGCCCTCCTAGGAGTCTCAAGCTCAATGAAGAGTGTCTATTATAATAACACTCTGCTCTCCACCAATCAAGTAAGATGGTTACCTCCTTTGTTTAGGCTGCTTGGACCTAACCGAGCTATATTACCTCGGCCATACACTCAAGTAATGGAGTAGATAGCATTCAGTTGAGCTATACCAAGCTCGGCCTCCTTTCTTACTAATACCTTGGCTAACCACCAAGCCCACTTATTTAGGTAGCTCGGTCCAAAGTACCTCTGCCCAGTTTTCATACAACATGGGACCGAGCTACTCGAAGCCCATACCTCGACCTTTAGTCCAGCCCATAACAGAGACTAAAGGATCGTAGCTCGACCAATATTTATTTATAAATTACCCTCTTAATTGCCCCTTAATTCTATCTGCAAAGCCTGATTTGGGATTATTCTTCTCCAGCCAAGCTAAAACATTCAAGCCAACTGAGCTCACCTTCTACCGAGCTACCAATTTGGCCGGTCCAGAAACATCTTGTCAGCTGCTCTGCACGTCGTTCCGCTTCCCACGCACGTCTGAATCGTTATCTATTCCCCTGGACACGTGGCTCACTCCCACTGGTCAAGTATAACTGTCACAGCCGTCATTGTACCTCGAAAGTTTTGAACAGCCCCTCGCATTTTTGTGTTTTAAACAAAAACCCTTTTTTTGAACCAAATCACTCGACTGTTCATCTTCTCTCACTTGTCGTGCTGCTGAGACCTGCCCCTACTTCTGTAATGCTCATTTTTTCAAATGAAATGGAATGAAATCTGTTATTTTCCAATCTTTTTGTCCAGTTCATATCCTGCTTGTGTTTGTTTTTCAACTTTAATTGGCATGTCTTGAACTTTTTTAGCCGAGACAGCCGTCTCGGTCCAGGAGCTTTGTAATTTGCTAACCTTGCTATGTGTTGGCACTACCAACTTTCTTCGACCCAGACTCTTATCTCGGCTGAAGAAAACTAAATGTTGGTCATATCTGCCAACTTTCTTCAGCTTAGATCCTTATCTCGGCTAAAAAAAAACTAAATGTTGGTTATTCCTGCGAACCTTTCTTTAGCCTAGATCCTTATCTCGGCTGAAAAAGAGCTAAATGTTGGTTATTCCTGCCAACCTTTCTTCAGCCTAGATCCTTATCTCGGCTGAAGAGAGCTAAAAGTTTGGCTAATACTGCCAATCATCTTCAGCCTAGATCCTTATCTCGGCCGAAGAGAGTTAAAAGTTTGGCTAATCCAGCCAATCTTCTTCAGCCAGATTCTTATCTCGGCTAAAGAGAGCTAAAAGTTTGGCTAATCTAGTCAATCTTCTTCAGCCCAGATCCTTATCTCGGCTAAAGAGAGCTAAAAGTTTGGCTAATCCAACCAATCTTCTTCAGTCAGATCCTTATCTTGGTTGAAGAGAGCTAAAATTTTGGTTAATACAGCCAATCTTCTTCAGCTAGATCCTTATCTTGGCTAAAGAGAACTAAAAGTTTGGCTAATCCAACCAATCTTCTTCAGCCCAGATCTTTATTTCGGCTGAAGAGAGCTAAAAGTTTGGCTAATCCAGCTAATCTTCTTCAGCCCAAATCTTTATCTCGGCTAAAGAGAGCTAAAAGTTTTGCTAATCCAGCCAATCTTCTTTAGCCCAGATCCTTATCTCGGCTGAAGAAAGCTAAAGTTTGGCTAATCCATCCAATCTTCTTCAGCCCAGATCCTTATCTCGGCTGAAGAGAGCTAAAGTTTGGCTAATCCAACCAATCATCTTCAGTCGGATCCTTATCTCGGCTCAAGAGAGCTAAAAGTTTGGCTAATGCAGCCAATCTTCTTCAGCTCAAATCCTTATCTCGGCTAAAGAGAGCTAAAAGTTTGGCTAATGCAGCCAATCTTCTTCAGCCAGATCCTTATCTTGGCTAAAGAGAGCTAAAAGTTTGGCTAATCCAGCCAATCTTCTTCAGCCCAGATCCTTATCTCAACTGAAGAGAGCTAAAAGTTTGTCTAATCCAGCCAATCTTCTTCAGCCCAGATCCTTATCACGGCTGAAGAGAGCTAAAAGCTTGGCTAATCCTGCCAATCTTCTTCTATCCAGATCCTTATCTCGGTTGAAGAATAAAAAAAGTGTTGGTCAAACTTGCCAACCTTTTTTATTGCCCCCCAGTCGAGCAAAGACTTGTTAGAAAGAGTTGGTCAATCTTGCCAACCCACTTTGCCCTTAGTTGGGCAAAGATTTTTTACTTTGTTGGTCTTTCTTATCGATCGTGTTAACTTTTGCCGAGGGTGTTTTGTCCATCCTCGCTATTATGTCGGACTCTGCCTAGGTGCGAATCTCATCTTCCTCTACCAAGATGTGTTGGTGCACTCTCTCCATCAGGGCATCTATAATAAGAGGCGGCGTCATTGTCATTGAATCTCTCAACTTATGACCCACTGGCAGACCTTGTTTGTACTGTACAATAGCTAGGTTTGTGAGGCAATCTCCAATCTGATTAAAAGTCTCCCAATACCGATTGTTGTAAGACTTCAATGTTTCCTTCTCGCCCATATCTATGGAGAGTAACTGGTCAATCTCCACCGGTGTCTTGGTGTTTGTTCTGAATCTGGTTACAAATGCTTCTGCTAGTTGCGCCCATGAAGCTATGCTACCTTATGGCAATCTTTCAAACCATGTTAGACCCAAGTCACCAAGGTTGCAAGGGAATAGGATACAAATTAGAGCCTCGTTTCGTTGATACACTGCCATGAGCGAAAGTGGCTCAAGTGCATGTAGAGGTCCGTCTTCCCCTCATAAGTTGTGAATTTAGGTTGATGGAAACCTAAGGGTAATGGTGCGTTCTCAATTGCCGGAACGAACGGCGAGCTTTGTAGCCTTGCTAACACTTTGTCTGCTAGTTCGTAAGCAAGGCGTGGCATTGGCATTCCTACCTCGACACTTTCATGTGTCCTAGGGGCCAATCCTTGTAGGGCTGCAACCCTGCAAGGGTCATGAGCCCTACAATCTTCCTTCCATTGGGCCCTCTCCTCTAGCACTGTTCACAGGTCTGCTGACCTTGGCAACTCCATGTGTCTAGATGTCGTTTGGTGTGTGTGCGAGGGTCGATAGTTGCTTCCCTCCGTATACGACCTTTCAGTCCTCGTTCTCTCAGACCTGGAGAAACGAGTCTTGGAAGTCCTTGATTGAGTGTCGCCTGTCCTTAGGCTTTTACTTTCAGCTTGGGATAGCGTGGCTTGTCTGCCATGATCTTCTGAATGGTAAAAGGGTGTGTTACCTTTGTGCCCCTCTTTTGTTGCCACAATTTTTTCTTTTATCTGGCGCTTCATCGTCTCCATGTCCGCCGCCATCCTTCGTATCATCTCGTCTTGCTCCCTCATGCGATCCTCCAGAACTTGAGGATCCAACATTCGCCTCTATCTTTCAGGACTTAGAGAGCGACGGGGACTGGCACCCCGTCTCTCCCGTGTGTCCCTCCGAGAGTTTCGTCGTTGGGGCTCTAATTCTGCCTTGGGTGGGATAGAAGGAAAACCTTTGTGCCTCCCGCCCCCTTCCGGGGTTTGCCCATCAATTGCAGATTGCGGCAAATCTTCGTCGTGAGCCATTGATTTCAACTAAGAAGAAAAACTCGATCAAAAGATTTTGTTCTTTATGGTTTTCCCACGGACGACGCCAATTGTACGAGCACGAAATAATGTTCTCATATAATCCTGTTGATCAAGTCTGCGCTCCTCCAAACGTCGCTTTACTCCTTGAAAACACAAACGTGACCTAGCCGGCGGGTGTGTGCCAGATACCTCTCCGATGCCTAAGTTAGCAAAATAGACAAATAGACAAAAGTTCTGTGTATTCGAGAATCAAAGTTGTGATAACTGTACATAGGTCTGGTCATGAGTTTTTATAGATTCTGCTTGGCACAATCTTAGTAGGATTCCAACTCTTCCTTATAAGAGTGCTCCTAGGAATCATTCACCCTACTCACTACTAACCAAGTGAGATGGTTTGCACAAT